GGTGCACCACGAGGAGGTAAGTCTATCGCGCACCCCAAGAAATAATCTTTCAAATATATATTGCAGATTGACTATTTCATTTAAGCCTTAAATAATGACCTCATCTAAAAAGATACTTTGCCTCTTCAATATTATACATTTTAATCGAAATATACAGAAATATAGGAATCTGTTGGCTCTATTAAATTATGTACTAATTGCAAAGAGCTCATGCTTAAATTCACAATTACGATTTGAATTTAGGTGATCGTTATAAATGAATTTACCATATTAGGTTTATTGAGGTTTTGTAAAGTGCCGGATGCTTCAGTACAAGACCTAATTGGGTATTAAATGCCTAAACCATGAGACGATTAAATTAATATTGAAAAATTTATGGTAATTTTACGACTTAAATGCTAAACCTCACATTTACATAAAATTAATATTATTTATATTAACCAAATGGAAAACAAAAAAGTATATATTGAATAAATTTTATAAATATATGTTTAACAGAAATACAAATATTTTTTTCCAAAATAGTCTTTATTGTTAACTAAATTTAAAGAATATATTTTTAAATGTTTTAATCTTCACACTGTTCGAACTTTCAGGACAAATTGCTACCTTGAGGATTTCGGCGGCACTTCAAGCTAACATTTGTTGAATACCGCAGGCTTACGATGAACACAACACGACCCCAAGGCGAAGGTTTTTTGAAGTCTAAAGGCAGAAGAAGAACTAGTAGGAATAACAATAGGGGACGCGTTTCTGGTGCTATTTCGCAGCAATCTTGTGTCGTAAGTAATTGTTATTGGTATTATGATTAATCGAATAGATATATTTAGTTTTTTCTTTATTTTAGACACCCTCTGCTATTGGTGTCACTTCAAATGATACTAACGTAAGCTATATAATTCCTATATACGGTCTTGACATTTTATTTCCTTATTACTAAGATTTGATACTTAATATATATTATTTGCATTGTCTTATTATATCTTAGGCCATCGAAAATGCGTTTGAGGAGCTTACTGGAAGAATACCTCGTTTATATACCATTGCCACTACCGTTGATCCAACAAAGAGGGAGAAAGTTTTCGAGTATCAGCAAATTTTAGATAAAGACTTGGAGTCTGTAAATTCTGCTGAAGTAGGTTTACTGCGAGATTGTCTTGGTCTAACGCTCTTTCTTCCTTTAGAACAAATACTTCTTTATTACCTGTTCATTTACTTCTTGGAACCTTTTTCTATTTGAATTACTTAATTGTGTGAAAGAAGAGAAAGATGTAAGTTCAGTTGGCACATTCATAGCCAATAACTTTCCTAAATAGCAGGTGGAGAATATTGAGTTCATCAAGGAAACATATGAACAATTTAAAAGTCTATTGTCAATGCATGTAAGTACTCGAACACGGATTATTAAGGTAAGTTAGCGAAATGAAATGTTATTATGGTAATAGGAATAATTATATCATTCACTTAATTTTGAATTTTTCCCAACAACTAGAATCCTTATCGAAATATGAACTCTGAGAATGTATCTGAATCAAGTAAAAACGATAATGCTAAATCGGACTCGGAAAGTTCAGAAACAGTTGTAGCAGAAGAAAATGATGGCAAAGAATTGGGACTTGAAGAGAATGAGGCATCG